CGCAGGTTCGGACATATGTACATGTGCCTGCTCGATCGAGCAATGGCACGACGCTATCGTCCGAGGATTATGACTGAACGCCTCTAAGTCAGAATCCGTCATTATACTGTAACGATACCGTTAAGTACTCATGGTGGTTATTGGTAACACTATGTTGGCTTATGTCAACATATACCATGCCTTTAATGGAGAAAGCATGGGATACCATTGATAATAATGGTATTCTGCTATTCAGACCATAAATTCAACACGAATTTATGTTGACCTGCCTGAGTATAAAATGATCCGTAGACGACCCAAGAGCCTGCCAGGGTGTTGTATTTAGTAGAGCAGTTACAATACTGCGATCTATTGAGACTCATCCTTTGACAGGAAGGTTTGTTCACTATGTTGAACAATCTTCACGGCTTGCTCTGCCATTCCTACGTATACTTGTAACTATGACCATATATATATGCATCTATGCACACTTGTAACTATGAAAATATATCAATTAAATGTAACTATGAACATATCATATCATATACATGTAACTATGTATATAGGACTCCATGTATATTCATTGATGAATATGCTATGTTGACCTGATAGTACACCTTGGTGTACTAGGTTACGGACGCCACATCACCAAGGTGTGCCCAATGGTATGCTATTACAGTATACCATTGGGTACATCTTGTTTTTTTGTTGCGGCCCGGCATGCATATTCAATGTTGTCATGGTTTCTGTACACTACCTCTAGGTTGTATTCATGTACTAGACATAGGGTCAAACTCACGTAGAATTCTACGTAAAGTACCCCATACAAGGTACTTGATGTGACCGGAGACGGAGAGGTCTCTAGGTGTAACTCATGTACTATACATGGGGTCATATTCACATACTATAAGGTATGTGGAAAAGGACCCTATGTGTTGTACATGGTTCAGGGGACTTGGATAGGTCTCTAGGTCACATTAAAGTACTTGAATAGGGGTATTTTTACCATGATATTTCTACGTGAAAAAGACCCTATGTATAGTACAAAATGTGACCGAGGATGGTGGGACCTCTAGGATAGGCAAGTACTATGTATGGGGTCATAGGAAAAAAAGATGGTGAAATTTTGAAAAGGGGGTATTAAAAAAGGGGTCGCAGAAAAGAAAGAGAAAAAAGAAAGAGAAAAAGGGGAAGGGGAAAAATTAATTGGAACGATATACACTTGTACATTATCTTTGTACGAGGTGGTACCCTCTTAGGACATGGGAATGGCTGGGGGGTAGTAGAGTCTCCAGGAAGGCAAAGAGGCATAAGGGTATACGGAGAAGACGTTTGATAGTGCACCTCGTAAACTTTTTACGATAGTTTGATGTTGACTGTCTGCAGGGAGGGTGGACCATTTCCCCATACATGGTACTATGGTAGGGTACGAGGTTAAGGGTCATCAAAAAAAAGAAAGAGAAGAAAAGAAAGAGAAATAAAAAAGAAAGAGAAGAATAGTAAGAGGAGTAAGAGAAGAAGAGAAGAAAGAAGAAAGAGAGAAAGAAGGGAATTTCAGGGCTACGTTAAAAGTAATAGGGCCATGGGTCATGGGCTATACTAACCTTATGTGGGGTGGGTACCGAAGGTATGGGCATATGGGCAGGGTCATAGAAAGAAAGAAAAAGAGGGCTAAAGAGAAGAAAGAAAAGAGAATAGAAAGAGACAATAGGGCAAGGGTAATAGGGTGAAAGAAAAAGAAGAGAATGGGGGTAGGGGCGTAAAGAGAAATAGTAAGAGGAAAGGTAGAGAAAGAGAAATAGTAAGAGAACAGGTATTGCATCACTATTTGAAAAATTGGAACGATATACACTTTTTTTTCCCTTATATATAGCCATAGACAATTTGGTCACTTCGTAAACTTTTTACGATAGTTTGATCCAAGTTGTCTGCACTTACTATACAAAATGTAGTCGTGCTGCTCCAAGGTGCGGCCCATCGACTATCAACCTATTATTATATGAGTTGGGCTTTAATGCTCCAGTGAGGAACTGGTTTGATCCTGTTCTAATAAAAATTCACCTCAGGCTCTAGGTGAAGTGTAGCTTGGTTACCACGGTGCCCGTGATTGCTTCGTACAATTCAGGCATAGGCGCCAGCCTTGAGTAGAGAGATCTGGGTAAAACTGGGTACTCTTCATAATCCTTGGTGTGGTTTCCTACAGTCTACACACGTCAACACGGACTAAGAATCGTATACCCACAACAACATACCTTCTTCATGCAGGAAGAAGTGTGGTTTAGTAGGTGTTAGTATAAATCATAGAGATTTATCTCTATGACTAACATCGAAAGGCATACTCCTGTAGGTTAAAGACCATCATATCCTTGCATGGAAGGAATATGATGGGTTACAAAAAGCAGAACTGAGTATTCAATCACACATCAACTTGTTTATTTCCATTACATGGATATATTAACAATTATTGTTGTTGCTGTGTGTGTGTATCTACGATAAGACAGGACAAAATTTATCATTTGTC